ATATGTTCAAAAGTATATTTTTTTAATGGCTACTGCACTTTTCTTTTACAAATTTACAGGACTCATTGTTTTTATTTTTTTATCTGAACAACGTTTCATGTGGTCTTATCTCAAGCCATTCTTAAGTACAACAGTTGTTTTAATAAATAAAAAAGACAATGGAAGTCTTGATTACGTTTAACCTTTAAAGGAAATTGTTAACATTTCTTTTTCCTTTATTTGATCCTTTGTAATTGATTATCGGAAATTTTCTGTACTACAAGCTGTATTAGCGTTTGCAACGTTAACGTTGCTTTTTTGCCCTTTTACTTCAATTTCATTCGGTGGAAAGAATTTTGCACTTCTTTACGGCGGTTAATGTTACGTTATCTAGCGTAATAGGAGACCGTAATGTGGACGTATTATGTAATGCATTTGAAGTTAATAAAAAAAGCATTGAAAAAAAATGTCTACGATTTTATACGCGCGAAAACCTTTAGTTCTCTAAATGCACCATCTGAATTAGATTTGTAAGTTTTTTGTAATGTTCTAGACAAATAAACAAAAGTTCTAAAAATGATCGATTATACAATTCTCCTTTATCTTTCAACTTCTTGTTTGCGAGTATTTTCATTTTTTTTTTTTAAGATAAAAAAAAAAGAACGGGTCTTCGTGGTTCTTTTAATTTTGAAATTGATTTTCTTGGTGTCTATTTTCATGGAACTGAAATTTAACTGCTTTTTTCTTGTTTAAATTTTGGAATATTGATGTGACATCGATTTTATAGAATTACAACTCAATGGAATTCTAAAACGGAATTTTTTGACGAAACCAATTTAATTGATTATCGTAAAGAATAATTAGTAAAGTACTTACTCATTTAGCATCACAATTCTGAAGGATATTTGAGGTTACTATTCTACGACAAAAATTTTTCTGCTCATATCACTGATCATTTTTTTTACATATTTTTCCTTTTATTACTTAAAATTTAATTTGATATGTTAAAAATTAATAAACAGCTTCCATGTTATTACAAAATCGTGTTAATTTTCATTTAACTTTTCCAAACAAAATATCTTTTCGTTAGTTTGTTCAGCTTTATTCAGATAATTTGCCGCTAACATTTCAATATTTTTTAATTAAGTATTAATTTTGAATACCTAACTGTTGTTTCTTGTTTATCTACCATAAGAATACAGTATGTGTTTGTTGTTTGTAGCATGTAGAATTTCAGGTTAATTATTTGTCTGAATTCATCAGTTTTAACAGTTGATTCAATCAGTAATTTCAACATTCTTCTGTCGGGAAAGAATTAATACAATGATCTCTAGGATTTCCTGTACATTTCGCTAATTTAATTACTAGGTCGTTGGTTCTTTTGGATGTTAGATGTTNTCACTTTATAGTGTCGAGCATGGTAATTTCTCTGAGATTTTTCTCTCCGTGACTTCCGTCAAAAGCACGAAGTATTTCAAGAAAACAGCTTTGTATAAAATATACATATCTGCGATGAATTTTTTTAGTTAGCCTTTTAAAATAGCTTGTCATTACCCGACTTATGCGATGGGTGGTAACAGTAAATCATTCCGTTAAGATTTATATTATCGGTTCCAGATGGCAAATATTCTCACAGAATTATTGCACGAGTAGAGGGAATGTGTCATGAATGTAGCATTGGAATTCATCTCTATACCTCAGCAATTTTTGCAGCATTACTCATTTAGGTATGTTTCATATTTATGAGAAATTTTTGTTTTACTATGTTAATGTAGCGGGAATTATAAATTTCATAAAATTTATGACATTGTTAGTTACTTAATAGTGGATTAATATGCAATATTAATTTAAAATCATTTTTTTCATATTTTCATTTCATATATTTAATATATTGTAGACCTTGTAGGTCGGTTAGTCGTGGTTGCTGTAGTCACCTATCCTAGTTTACTGGTAGAACATTGGTGCGTACAGCCAAAGGTCCCGGGTTCGATTCCCGGCGGGGGTGTGACAACAGCAACAATTTTTCCCTCATTAATTTGAGGTAGCATGTAGTGGGTAAATAAAAAATCAAAACAATGATTTCAAATTAATATTGCATATTCATTGATTATTTATCTCATTATGCATTTC